AAAAAAAAAAAAAAAAAGAACTGTCATTTTCAGTCCATTGTTATAACTACCTGAGCTCTTCTTCACCAGCAGGTTTACTACATCACTTAGCTTCCTCAAAAATTCATCAAAATGGAGTAATAATGGAATGTAAAATATAGATGTTTTCCCAGCTGAGGCTTTGTACCTTCCATATGGTATGAAGTGAAGCTACAAAAAAAATCTGGTGTACAGTCATGCATCACTTAATAGAAGGGATATGTTCCAAGAAATGTGTTTTAGGCGGTGTCATCACTCTGTGAACATCATAGAGCATTTATACAAACCTGTACTGGGATGTCAGTGTATCAAATGTAGCTAGTTGTAACACAGTGGTAAAAAAGGTACAATAAAAATATTTTTTAAATGGTACACCTATTTAGGGCAGATCCATTATGATCTTATGGGACCACTGTCATTGTGTGGTCCATTGTTGACTAAAGTTGTTCCAGGCTTGGCGTCTGTAGCACAGTGGTTACAGTGCCAGCCACACGCACCAAGGGTGGTGGTTTTGAACCCTTCCTGGGCCAGCTAAACACTGACAACTGCAACCCAAAAATAGCTAGGCCTTGTGGCAGGCACCTGTAGTCCCAGCTACCTGGGAGGGTAAGGTGAGAGAATTGCTTACGCCCAAGAATTTTGAGGTTGCTGTGAGCTAAGATGCCACAGCGCTCTACTGAGGGCAACATAGACTCCCTCAAAAAAAACAAAAGTTGTTACACAGTGTACAGCTGTATTTAAACTTAGCACTCTGTATCCAAGTTCTAAAATCCAAAGCATACACAATTTAACAGTGTAACTGGCTTGTAGAGGGCAGTGCTGCATCCAGTTGGTTTACTGATGATGCTGCCTTCATGACCTACCCCTTCCCTTTCTTCCATCTGTTTTTTCTTTTTCTTTTTTCTTTTATTGAGATAGAGTCTGTCCCTCCGTAGAGTGCTGTTATGTCATAGCTCACAGCAACCTCAAACTCTTTGGGCTCAAGTGATCCTCTTGCCTCAGGTTTTCATTTTTTGTAGAGACAGGGGTCTCACTCTTGCTCAGGCTGGTCTTGAACTCCTGAGCTCAAACAATCCGCGCCTCAGCCTCCCAGAGTGCTCCTTTATCTGTTTTGACACATGAACTGGAAACTTAATTCTTAGTATGGAAACCTACAGAGTTAGTTCTGTGTAGAAACTCCGTGGGCCACACCTGTAATGTTAGCACTCTGGGAGGCTGAAGCAGGAAGATCGTAAGTTCAGGAGTTCAAGACCAGCCTGAGCAAGAGGAAGACCCTATCTCTACTAAATATATAATAGAAAAAATTAGCTCATTGTGCCCTTGTCCCAGGGAGGCCAAGGCAGTAGGATCACTTGAGCCCAGGAGTTTGGGTTTGCAGTGATCTATAAAGATACTACTATACTCTAACCAGGGCAACAGAGCAAGATTCTGCCAAAAAAGCAAATGACAAACAAACAAAAACCTCTCTGTGTAGTCATCTGTATTTGTTAGGAATATCTAAAATTCAGTGTTAATCATCAGGGTAAGCATGAGATATATAAATCTTCAGCCTACAATATGAAAGGATTTAGTTGAAATTATGTGGGCATTGCCAATTTCCACAAAAAGCTTGGTGAAAGCCCATTTTCATTCACTGAGGAATATCTTGGGATGAACTTGAGTTTTTATTAGGTTATTGTGGGTAGCTATGACTCATTACTAAGCTACAAGAGCCAAATTCATTCTGGTTTCAGTGAGAACTCTATTCATAGTTCTAAAGCATACTAATCCAATCGGCCACCTTTATGAATTTCTCACAAAATACAAAGTACAATTGCTTGTCAGTTAACACTTTCATAAGGTTTGATGTCTCACAAAGACAGCAATAAGATGTTATAGAAGTCTCCTTTGTCAGGTTACAAATTGACTGTAAACAGGTTTGGGGGAAGAAAAAGGCACAAACCAGAAGATATTACATAACGTTTTTGTGCCAGATTTTTTAGTCCATTTATGCAGGTAAAAAGCTAATGCTTAAAGGGCCATTTGTCTTCCACCTCATTCCATTCCAAACTCAGGTTCTCTAGGCAGTAGAGCTTGCTGTCCTATGTCAGATAATATAGAAATATGTGACGTTACTTACATTAAATTCTTTTCTGCATCACACTGTAAAATTAATCACATCTGAAAATCAGAACAATTTAAAAACAAATAAAATTTTACCATACGTTAAGAGACTACAAAGTGAAGAGTATCCATATTTTTATTTTTGATCTTTTTTCCAGGAATTATTTTAAATATTTAAAACAATGGACCAAAAGGTCATAGTATTACAAGAAAAAAGACTGCATAACTTTTTGCTATCTCTGAAAGCACTAAAATACAAAAGACAGCTGACCACTAATAAAATTCTGTTACAAGCCATCTTGATACATTCCAGTGGCTGCTGAGGAAAGTTTAAATACCTTTATAAAACTGGCAAAGAAAATGTTAAAAAGCTCTTGGGGGTACGTGCATTGAATTGAAGAACTCCAATGGGCTTTTTTTTTTTTTTTTTTTTTTTTTGAGACAGAGCCTCAAGCTGTCCCCCTGGGTAGAGTGCCGTGGCATTACAGCTCACAGCAACCTCCAACTCCTGGGCTCAAGCGAGTCTCCTGCCTCAGCCTCCCAAGTAGCTGGGACCACAGGCGCCCACCACAACGCCCGGCTATTTTTTGGTTGCAGCCGTCATTGTTGTTTGGCCGGTCCAGGCTGGGGATTCGAACCCGTCGCCTTAGGTGTACGTGGCTGGCGCCTTAGCCGGTTGAGCTATAGGCGCCGAGCCTCCAATGGGCTTTTTTCTGCACAGAAAACTCTTGTGCTTCCCAAGTATAATAGCATAATGGATTTAAAGCTAATTACATACACTTGACAAGCAGCTATTTCTAGAAATGGGTGTTGTACCAGATAATGCCCTTTAGTAAAGCAGAAGCCCATACTCCGTTTCAAGGAAGTCCAGGACTACACACTAAATGGGAAACCTCGAGCTTGAGGTGCAATGAGCTAGTCACTGGGCTGGTGGCCAACTCAGCCATCATTAAGCATTTAGAATGTAGAAAAACTGCCATTATTCATGTCCTCGTCACTGTCACTTGCTCTTGTCAGACTGTCGAGAGAGTGGTTGAAGTGCTCTTGCTGGTCAGAAGAAACTGCTCCAAAGAACATGCAAGAAAACTGGAAGGGAAAAGTAACTGCACTGTTAATTCCAAAGTGAATATTTCTTCATTAAATGTTCCAGGTAACATCCCCTTTCCAAATGGGTGGCCAATGTGGCATCCTTATTTTATTACAAATGGACACCCAGAACCTTTATTACTGGCCCAACACATGCTAAAAGCAAACCCTTCCCTGACTTTAAATAGACACAGAATATCTTCAGTTTGGGATCATTAGTCTGCTGTTGACTCCTCCATTTGCTCCATCAAAAGTTCACCAGGACTGTGAGAGAAGACAAAGGGAGCTTCTACAGGCTGATGTGGGTGAATAGAGCTATCTCCCTTCCCCTCTGCTAGGGCAGAAGCCACCCTTCCAGACTAAAGCCAGCTCTTCCTGCCTCTGCATCCCAGCCCCTCCCATGCCTCTCTTCTACTGGACAGGAATGTCTCTCATCTTTAAAATACAGAAAGAATCTAGCTTGGCGCCTGTGGCTCAAGTGGCTAAGGTGCCAGCCACATAACACCTAAGGTGGTGGGTTCGAATCCAGCCTGGGCCCGCCAAACAACAATGATGGCTGCAACTGAAAAATAAAAAAATAGCCAGGTGTTGTGGCGGGCGCCTGTGGTCCCAGCAACTTGGGAGGTGGAGGCAGGAGACTCGCTTGAGCCCAGGAGTTGGAGGTTGCTGTGAGCTATGCCACAGCACTCTACCCAACGGGACAGCTTGAGGCTCTGTCTCAAAAAAAAAAAAAAAAACAGAAAGAATCTAACCTCATCCTACTCCCCCCTCCAGCTGGTGCCTTATCTCCCCTGTAGAGTTGTCTACACTCACTGTCTCCATTTTCTCATTCTCTTATTCTAGCCCTTTCTAAAAAAGCTTCTGGCCTCTTCATCAAAACTGTTTTTATTGTCAGCAAAATTTGCCAGATCCTCTAAGTCAGTGCCTATTTTCCATCTTCATCCCATTTGATATTCACGCTAACACTTCTGATGCTTTCCTCATGCCATAATTATCCTGGCTGCTCTTGGCTCAGCTGGTTTGCCATTTTCTAACCAGTCTTTGACCCAGGGTTTTGCAACCTCAGCACTACTGCCATTTGGGGCAGGATGATTCTTTGTGGTGGGGCCTGTCCTAAGCTTTGGAAGATGGTGGGCAACATCACTGCTAGTACTCTCTTCCCAGTTGTGACATCTAAAATGTCTCCAGACTCTGTCTGAGTTCCCCCCAGGGGTGGGAGGGAAGCCATATGAAGATGATATTTAATACCCCAGGCAAAGTTACTGAATGCCATTCTAAGGAGTTTAGGCTTAATCTTATGGTAGAAGCATAATAATCTAAGAGTTTTAAAAGCAGAAGAGTGATAGGTAACAATAATACTTAACATTTATGGAACACAGCTATGCGCCAGTTACATCTATTAGTGCAATTAATTGGGCCTGATTATAAATCTAAGGTTTGGACAAAAGTTTAGTAGACACTGGAGGAGAACCAGAGCAGAGGAGAATGGAGGCCTAGGGGCTGGGCTGAAGACCACAGTAGTAGATAGAACTCAATTAGGGTCTACATCATTTACCCATAAAGTAATATCAGCTTTGCAGGGATTTGCTGCATTAAGGCAAACAATTTCCTTTCAAAATAGAGACTTCTTTTTAGAATTTAGCAATATGATAGGAAACTGGAGTAAAGAGTACTGTAATGGTGTTCATGGAGCTTATCATTCTAAATGTCACTTTCTCTAGTGAGCAAAGTGGCAATCTTAGTGAATTTTAGGGACCTGAAGCAGCAGGAAAATTATTTGCTGTTGTTGACTGTGAAAAAGTAAGTATAATACATGTGGCAAAAAACAGGACAGGTAAATGTTTTTGTATAATGAGAACAGATTTCAGTTTTCACTTCAGGCCAAACTAGTAATATACAAGAAGAAAATATTGCCCTAAGTGTTGGACATACAACAGACACTCAATAATTATCTATGGCATCAAAATGATTAAGGTGATTTTACCATACAAATTCTTCCTCAAAAGTCATACTATAGTATAAGATGGTGATGTTCAAAATTATCATTTTTTTCTTTCAACTTTCTTATTTTAAGAAACTCATATTTTCAAATCCCTAATAAGCAATAGCAAAATAAGCTTGAATAAAACATTAAACATATAAAATTGGGATTATCGATATTTGAGATAATTTTGGAAGTTTCTAATAAATTATCTTTACCTTCAATTAAATAGATTTCCTAAGGTTTAATAGCATAGTGTTTTGTGAAGCTTATCATCTATCTAGTAAAATGTTAGTAATATAACAAAATGTTATCAACTGGGATACCTCTATGAAGGAATACGTGATATTTGTTGGGATGACATTTACATTTGTACCGCTATGAATAAAGAATTTCTCAATCAAATTTGAAAAATAAGATTAAAAAGAAACTTATTTTAGGAGGCAAATTATATAATTTCAAGATATTAATTGCATTCAAAGATATATGATAAACAATCATTATTCTTAAAGGCAAGTGACCTACTTGAATATATGCTTTGTTAGAAATTAGTGACTGAGCAATTTAACTATTTTTTGTTGATATTCTATAAATTAATCTTTCTTCCATCTGAGACTAGCTTCACCCTTCCCTTATCAAAAAATAAGAATATTGATTTTCAGGATATTAGGGATAAGCTAGGGCAGGGAGATTGCTAAGTGAGACAAATGATGAGCATCCTTGACTAAGACATGGTTTTGTCTCAACACTTTTACCTTCCTGAGATATGGAGACCTGAATACTTCCTCTGTGTCACTGACACCGCTCTCTGGTACTTTACTAATGTCTCCAGCCGTTCTTTTCATTACAGGGCTCCCATGGTTTGCCGCCACAGAGATATTTGTGGAAGTCTCCTCAGGATAAAGCCTTTTGGGTGCTGCTTTTCTCGAGAGACACTCCAGTGCCTGGCTGGTTACCTTTTCATCAGCCTTTGAATTTGACTGCATTACATCTGACCTGAAGTATTAACAGGGATTAAATGAATGAACTATTTACTTTAAAATATATTTTTATATAACTAATGTAGTAATGTAGGATGACAATGATAGCACTGGCTTAGGGAAGGTACTGAAATAAAATGAAACTGATTGCTCAAAGTTAAGATTTATATATATGATAATTTGGAAAGTCTCTTGATAAATATGCATCTTTCAGTAAAGCAACCCAGTGTGCCTGGGACATCTTGTGATATAACAGGACCATATTAGGGGACAAGTTAAATAAATTATTGTTATCTATGTGATAAAATTTTACAGTTACAAAAAATCATGTTTTCAACATGATTAGACCATGCCCATGATAGATTTTATGGAAGGAAAAAACAGGATATAGAACTATATAGCTATATGATCACAATCTTGTTTTAAAATATAAATATATGGGGCTGGGCATGGTGGCTAACGCCTATAATCCTAGCACTCTGGGAGAGTGAGGTGGGGGGAGATTGCCTGAGCTCAGGAGTTCAAGACCAGCCAGAGCTAGAGCAGGACCCCATCTCTAAAAATAGCCAGGTGTTGTGGTAGGCACCTGTAGTCCCAGCTTGAGCCCAAGAGTTTAAGGTTGCTGTGAGCTATGATGCCACTGCACTCTACCAAGGGTGACAAAGTGAGACTGTCTCAAAATAAATTTAAAAAATATATACATATATATATATATATATATGTGTATATGTATATGCAAAATAAAAAGCCTGAAAGAAAATACAGTGAGCCAAAAAGTTTATAGTAGCTTTCTCTGGGTGATGCAATTAAGGATGAGGTTTATTTTTATTTTCTTCTTTGTACTTTTCTCTGTTTTACAAATTTCCTGTAAATTTGTGTTTCTCTTACAATGAAGCATCCCTTCCCTCCTCCAAAAAAAGTTATTAAGGAAAAAAAGAAAAGAAAAAGCAGCCTAGGCAACACAGGGAGACCCCATCTTTACAAAAAGTGAAAAAATAAGCCAGCTGCCTCAACTCTCAGCTACTTGGGAGTTTAAAACAGGAGGATCGCTTGAACCCAGGAGTTTGAGGTTGCTATGAGTGGATGGCACTCTAGCCTGGGCTACAAAGTAAGATTCTGTCTTTTAAATAAAGGAAGGAAGGGAGACAGGCAGAAAGGGAAGGAAAGGAAAGTAGAAAGGAAGGAAGGGAAAGTGAGGGGAGAGGAGAGAAAGGGAGGAGAGGGGAGGGGAAGGAAGGAATTGCTGCCCCTATATCTGAGGAAGAGTTCTAAGGAGTAAATATAGACTTTCCTGTGAAAGTTAACACTATCACTCCTAAAAAACAACTAAAAGTTGGAAATGGGCTTGGCGCCAGTAGCACAGGGATTAGGGCACCAGCCACATACACCAAGGCTGGTGGGTTCGAACCCAGCCCAGACCTGCTAAACAACGACAACTGCAACAAAAAAATAGCCAGGTGCCTATAGGGCCAGCTACTTGGGAGGCCGAGGCAAGAGAATTGCTTAAGCTGTGAGTTGTGATGCCAGAGCACTCTACTGAGGGTAACAAGTGAGACTCTGTCTCAAAAAAAAAAATAAAACTGAAAGTTGGAAATTAGTTTTGGATAACAACAAAGTTAAACCAGACAGTCCTGTTAAATTCTAGTCAGAAGAGGAAAAGCAAATATCCAATGCAAGATTGGCTACGTTGCCCTGGGTAAAATGCCATGGAGTCACTGTAGCTCACAGCAACCTAAAAATCTTGGGTCCAAGTGATCGTCTTGCCTCAGCCTCCCGAGTAGCTGGGGCAACAGGCACCTACTATGATGCCCAGCTAATCTTTCTATTGTTAGTAGAAACAGGGTCTCTAGCTCAGGCTTGGTCTTGAACTCCTAAGCTCAAGCAATCTACCTGCCTCAGCCTCCCAAAGTGCTGGGACTACAAGTGTGAGTTGCCACGCCCCACCCTCCATAAGTAAATGCCACTGAATGATCTCAGAATTAGATTGTGATGGCTCTTCCCAACCCTAAAACATAGCCTCACCTTTTCTGCTTCTGTGAAAGACATAGTGATTGTGGCGAAGATGCCCTACTTGGCTCATCAGCTAATGTAGCCAAAATAAAGTTAGCTTCCAATAGCATATCATCAATACTTAAAGCCAGAGGCCTAAAAAGACAAAGTCAGAGCAAAAATAACTCTCATTTTCAGATAGACATTAGGAACACATTAGAAAATAATACTTAATTCTGAAGTAAAAGAAACAGAAGTAGACAGCCTTTTTGTATTTTTGCAAGTTATCACAGTTCTGAGAGCTGAAAGGATCCTTAGAAATCATCAGATCAAATTTTATAAAACACATTTTAACCTAATCTTACTTAAAATTTTAGTTCTGAAACATAATAGTTTCATAGATATATAACTTATTTAAACCATGTATAATTTTCTAATTAAACAATTCACAACCATGTCAAATTTATAAATGTCTCACTCTATAGAAGAATATATATCTCAATCAAGGTGCCACTTAAAAAATGCCATGTTTTGGCATCTTTCAAAATTTTAGTTTGTTAAGTGTTACTAGGAAAGGTAAGGAATTCCTGAAGTGTTAATCAAAATGATCCTAACAGTTTTATTATTGATATATAACAAAAGAAAAGAAACAAACTCAGAAAAGTTCCCAAGGACCTACTTCCCCGGAAAATCAAAATGAATAGATATAGGAGCATGTGTTGCTTCTGAAAATGTCAGCATTCCCTGAAAGAAGAGAAGAAGAAAAAAAATCTTGAAATCTTTAAGTTATCAGTAAAAATTTTAATTTTAATTTGATATACATATTTATGTACCTTCAATTCCTTAAAGCAAAATGTTATTTCAGTGTCCACTCCAATTTGAAAGTAGTCAAATTCATCTGGGCCAACAAACATCTCACTGTACACAGAATTGGTCAAATCTGTTTAACATTATAGGAAAACAAAAATAAAATTCATTCTAGAGGTTAGTTGTTAAATTTTAATACAAAAATACAACCATAAGTGGTAGGTTAAATTCTCTGACATTCCTTCAGTGAGAGATGGGGTCTATTTCTATGTCTGCTGCCTTTGAATTTGGGTGGCTTTAGAACTACTCTAATCCATAGGATATGACAAAGTGACTGTGGCAGTTTCTGGGTATAGGCCTTAAGAGACTGGCACCCTATGCTTCCTGTCCCCTGCAACACTCTTGGAACTTAGCCATCCTGCCATATAAAGTCCAACAAAGTTAGACCCCCATCTCTACAAAAAGTTTTTAAAATCAGTCAGGTATGGTGATATGCACCTGTAATCCTAGCTACTTGGGAGGCTGAGGCTGGAGAATCACTTGAGTCCAGGAGTTTGAGGCTATGGTAAGCTATGATTATACTACTGCACTCCAGCGTGGAAGACAAAGACCCTATCTCTAAATATAAATAAATATAAATAAAAGTCCTTATCTCTGGAGAGTAGATTTCAGGTGACTTGCTTTATTTGTGGGGTTTTTTTTTTTTGGTATTTTTATTTTCTTCAATGAACATGAATTGTGTAACTAGTAAGAACAAAAGTTTAATGAAATATATTTTTAAAAGGACCAGCCAATATCTTAAATATACATTCATTTCAAATAACAAGGCTCATGTCACTCCCAATATGCTAGCAGAGAAGAAATTCAATAAGATTAAATAATTGGGTCCCTAGTCAACCATAGCTACAACTATAACTATTCATTAGAAAGCTACTCACAGGGACAATGTCTCCCAGTTATTAAATGACCATCTTTATTCAGAAATGGCATGATAGAACATAAAACAGATCCTTTCACTAGCCAAGCATATATTTTCCAGATCATGCATTCCAGAGGGCCAAAAAAGAATGTTGGATAAGACTTGAGGGAGGTGGCTCAGCACCTGTGGCTCAAGTGGCTAAGATGCCGGCCACATACACATAAGGTGGCAGGTTCGAATCCAGCCCAGGCCCGCCAAACAACAATGACGGCTGCAACCAAAAAAATAGCCAGGCATTGTGG